GGATTTGGCGTTATCATGGTCCAGGACATTTCAGTTGGGACGAAGTGGACAAAAGAACAAATCATGCTACTGAAGACGTGACACCTGAAGAAGCCACCATAGAAGAAGAAACTCTACTCGTTTTTAAGAAGGGAAACGGTGAAGCTATTGATGAAGTTACTACCACTGATGTGACTGTTATCGACGATAGGACATTTCCTGATGAAGCAGATGAACCCCATATGAAGCAGAAGCAAACGAGACATAGACCAGTACGGAAGAAGATACGTCCCGTAAAATTAAGAGACTTTGTTGAATTGTAATTTTGTGTTTGTAATTCTGTACATTTTAATTAAGTTATTGTTAATTGTTATTGGTTTAATGTAAGTGGCTATTGTTCGGGACGAACAATACTAAGGAGGGGGCAGTGTTGCGTCAGCGAGGTCACGTGACTAGTATCACGCGACTTCTTTCTCGAACCTTCGTGAATTGTCGGGAGATTACTAGATTGGGGGTATGCTGGTATATATAAGATGGTCACAAAGTGTAGTTAATGAGTAATTGAATGTATGCGAACAAAATATTGTTGGCCACGTGAGACGTGAATTATAGTGTTGTTACAGAGCAACTGTTGAAATTAGGTGTATCGTAAAGTTGTATTCGGAAAGAATAAACCAATTTTATTTAAGAAAGGACTTGTGTCGCTAAAGTTTCGTCAGAACGAATTTACGGAAAATTAACTAACGACTGGAGGCGTAACATAAACATCTCAGCAGATTTTGATAAGTAGATTGACAGAAGTGAGCATCTTGGGTTAATAGATAATGACCTACGAGAGTTTGCTAAACAACAACAAGATCTAGAAAGAGAACAGTGTAGACAGAGAAGAGAGGAAAGAGAAAGACTAAAAGAAGAAAGAGCACAATGGAAGAAAGAAGAAAAGGAGATAGAGGAGAAATTAGAAACAGGGAGAATAAGAGCACAAATTGAGAAAGAAGAACAGGAGAGAAAAGAGAGATTAGAAATAGAGAGAATAACAGCACAAATTGAGAAATAAGAAAAGGAGAGAGAGGAGAGACTAGAAATAACGAGAATAACAGCACAAATTGAGAAATAAGAAAAGGAAAAAGGAGAGACTAGAAATAGAGAGAATAATAGCACAAATTGAGAAAGAAGAAAAGGAGAGAGAGGTGAGACTAGAAATAGAGAGAATAATAGCACAAATTGAGAAAGAAGAAAAGTAGAGAGAGGAAAGAATAAAAATAGAGCAAATAAGAGCACAAATTGAGAAGAAGGACCCAAGAATGATAACAGGATCATGGCCAGCTGACCCAGATGCCCAAATTTGAGGAACAGAAAGATGACATGAATGCTTTCCTAGAGAGATTGAAAAATTCGCTCAAAGTCAGCCCACTTCTCACAGGAAAAGCCCTACA